CCCCCCCCCCCCACCCCCTCACGCTAGTGTACGGAAAACCGGCGTATGGGAAGGAAAAAAGAGGGAAACAGGGCCGGGAATGTTCGGGAAGAACTTAACGTTGCTCTCGTTTTTCCACCCACGGTTGACTGACGGTCGGGTGAGAGTCCTCTCTTTTTTTTTGCTCTTTTGGCTCACTCGTCAAATACGGCTTAGTTCTTACCTTTTCAAATGAAGAGATGATAATAAAAATTATGTAGACCGACGAGACGCAGTCGCTGGATCGTAGCCAGGCGTTTGAGCAAGCGGCAGTGTGCCGTTGCTCTAGCATTACGGAGCTTACGTCCTGTCATGCGACGTTGGTTTCGTACCGTTATGTGTTTTTCCGTTTATCGTCTCTGTGCGACTCTCCGTGTCAACCCGTTCTTTGTCTCCCTCTCCCCCGTCCCTCTCTTATGTCTTTTTTTTTTTTTGTCCACCCGTTTGATTGTTCCTCCGCTCCGCGGCAATAGGGACTTGCACGCCATCACCCCGGCCGAGTACCTGGACGTGAGCGCGAGCGTGCTCCACCCGCTGAGCTACCAGCAGGCCAGGAACTACAACCTCCCCGTGGAGGGGGTCTACCTTGCACAGGTTAGGTTTCAAGTGTATGATGTACGCACGTGCAGGACAGGGCTGTCGACACGCTCAGGCTAGTTTTCAGTCGTCGACGCGGTGACGGCGGCGGCGGCGGCGGGGAGTAGTAGTTTCTACGGCAGGCACGAATATTGGTTGCTTAGTCAGCGTTCGGGTCCGATATTTGCTATGATTTGTTGGTCCTCACATTGAAAACCGTTCCGATCTAGGCTCGGCATCTTGCAATATCAGTTCCTTCCGTTGTCACAGGCCAATTACCCAAAGAAATTGATGGAAGGAGAATTTAGCAAGTCAAAGCTACCTCGGTCTGACTCTCAAAAGGCATGAGGCACACACACCTGCACACAGGCGTTGCTGCCCCTCCGTGCCAACTTAGCCGGCGAAAACTCCGACACCTGTACCTGGACGACCAATGACCCGGTTGAGCGGCGGCGGCGATTGCATGATGCCAAAGAGCACCCTCCCCCTTATTCGTGTGAGCTTTGCTTACCTCCCGGGAGACGGTGGCCCGGGCACTCGCGTTCGCCTTTTCTGTTCATCGCCACCCCCACCTGCTGCTGCTTCGTCCCACGCCACGCTGGCCCCCTTGCCCCCGCGTGCTGTTTGTTCCTCCTCTCTTGGGGCTTCACGTGCCAGGCCGGTTACATGCTAGAGCGGGCGTGGATCTCGAGCCAGTGCCTCATCACGTCCATCGGCTCCGACCCCACACCGGACCTCGACGCGTGCGAGGCCGCCTTGTGCAAGTGAGGCTGACGGGCAGGGAGACTAGGCAGACACGCTTTTACGATTTTCCTGTTTTGTGTTTTTTTCTGCTTGGAAGGCCTTGTTCTCGTGCTTCGAACAAGTGGTTTTCCTCTGGCGATGAGCCGGTGTTTTGCTCACGTGGACAATACAACGGCGCACGTGCATGTGAAAAGAGCAAGGAGGAGGGAAGGCAGACACGCTCAACGTTTCCTTCCTTTTACTTGGTTTTTGTTCATTTTATTGTGTTTTGCCTTTTTTTCTAACCCTTGGAAGGTCCTACTGTTCCCGTGCTTGGTCGGTCTGGCCACGGGGTTTCATTCTCGAGACGCTCGTGGTAGTACGACGCACAACCCTCCTTGCGACGGTTAACATTTCAATCCCGTGCCTCAACCACGCATCATGGCACCTCTCTTGGCGTGGGTTGGTGGCAACGCGAATGGCCGTGAAAAAGTGTCCCCTTTCTGCCTTGAAACCCTTACTGCCGTCGAGGAAAACCCTCGCCTGAGAACTGTCTCATGAGGGTAATGTTTGGGTTGTATGTCGCACGCTTCTTCTGGCAAATACACGACGGGTAACCGCTGATGCTTGAAATTCATTGCCATTCTGTCCCAGACTATTGTTGTCTGTGGAAGAGATGAACTTGTTGTGCCAGACGTAAGAAAAAAATTATCGGGGATACGACGTCCGTCCTTTGCAAGCGAGTCATGCCGGACAATTCGACCGGAGACAGACGGGACTGTCAACATCCCGGTTTGGCATCTTTTCCTCGGGTTTGTTTTTGTCCTCGTGTGGCATGTATTTTGCGCTGACCTTTGCCCCCCTCGCTTTCCGCTGCCCGCCGCCCGCGCTAGTGTATGTATGAAACGTGTGCAAACCGTAAAACTCAGAAGACGGGTTGCCAATATGAAACGGATGCAATGTAAAAACTCAACACTCGGATTGTCAATATGAAACGGATGCAAAGTGAAAAGCTCAACACTCGGATGGTTAATGTCCAGGCATGCTGACGGGGCGCGTGTGTCGGTGAGGTACAAGGCACTGGGTGATCGCCACCGGACCAAGACGGCGGTTATCACCATCGACAGGAAGTGGTACACGATGCAGGCGAGAGGGGGAGAGAGGGAAGGACAGACAGAGAGAAAAAGAGGGAGGGGGAAAGAGAGAGAGAGAGAGTGAGTCGCGTGGCATACCCCCGTTTTGCTTTTTTGGACCCGGACTTCGAAAGTATGGATTTGGCGATGTGATGTTCACACACGAAAAGCTTGCAGTAGCACGGAAGGGGCTGCAGTCGAGACACCCAAGCACACATCGGTAGGCTTCGGTTGTCGTCAAATTATCGCTGTTCAACTTTCCCGTCCTTGTTTTGCCGCGCGTACACTCACCCCCACCCCCCGTCGCACCTCTTTCCCCCCCCCAAAAAGCAGCGAGTGCGGCGGAATGACGAGGATGGGCTGTGGCACGCAACGCCGAGCCCCCCTCCCCCCTCCGCGCCGCCACTACCTCGCGTCACCCCCCCTGTGGCCACGGCCTCCAAGGCAAAGACGAAGAGGAAGAGGGAAGCGGCCGGGGACGGGATTTCTTCGAGTCTGGTCATGGTCGTCTTCGACATACCCCACTTGGTGAGTTTGAGTTTGGTTCGTTCTGTCTCTCTCCCTCCCTCCCTCTCTCACCCTTTGTAGCCCTCCCCCCCCCTCTCTATATTCTTCATGTGTTGGGCTACTGCGGAACCCCCGAACCTCCCCGACAACCTGCTGCCTGCTCCCTCACGGCGGGTTTAGCGAGGGGCGTACTTTCCTTTTGTGTTGCCGGCTGCAGAAGATCGAACCCAAGCCTCGGTGTGTTTGTTGTTGTTGTTGTTGCTGTTGTCGTAGACTGGTCGTCAGAGAGCAAGGGTACTCGAACGCCCGCAATCACCTGACCAATAGAAAAAAGAACACTTGCTTAGTTGAATAGAGTGCATCCATGAATGTATATGCTTCATTCCGAACTCATGAAGGCAATTCATTAGCACAACATGCTCCCACCCATGCGTCTTGTCTATGATGTGGATGGTGACGGTAGTGGCGGTGGTGTCAACATACTCCTACCCATGCGCCTTGCCTATGATGTGGATGGTGGTATTGGTGTTGGTGGGTCGCGGCCACTGTCAGGTGGACGGCGTATCCGGAAGCTACTGCATCGGCGTGGGCGTCATTGTGGATGCGGAGCTCGGCCTGGTGGTCGTGGACAGGAACACGGTTCAGGTCTCCCTTGGCGACGTCATGCTCACCTTCAACGGCAGCGAGGTAAGTCTCTCGAGAACGATGACAAACGGGTATGCCACTCTCTCCTACCATATTCAAAAGGAGGCGTCTTATGGTTTTATTGTTGTTGTTGTTGGGTGTGATCTCTGTGCCACTCTCTTGTACCGTACACTTAGGTGCTGTCTTGTCTTCAGTTCGTGTATGTGTGCGATCCTTGCCGTGTCTAGTAGACTGGAGTTCAATAGCAGCTTGGCGGGTCGCACAAAGATGGCGACGGCCGGCATGTCACATGCCACTCGTGTGCCGCAGGCGAGATATTGCTCTTCGGTGCGATCTTCACCATTCTAAGCGTAGGTTGGGTTTGAGATTGTGGGAGTAGTTATATCGGCGTGTTGTCATGCGTTCTTGGTGCGGATGGTTATTTTTCCGACGGCGGGTGATATGCGCGCGCCTCGAGCGGACGTCGAGAGCACGTGGAGTGTCACGTAGCGAAGGGGGTGAGAGAAACCCACACCGCTTGAGCCTACCTCTCACGTGTGAAAATGTCGTGTGCCTTACTACGATGATGACCCAACCAACTCGGTTCGCGTTTCTGTACTTGGTCGTTTCGCGCCGCGCTTGACCGACCGCCTGGCGCGGCGTGCCTGCCCTGCGCGCAACAACAGGAAGTTGCGGCGCGTCCGATCTTCTCGCACCCCACCCAGAACTTCGGCGTGGTGCAGTTCGACCCTTCCCTCATCAGCGGCTCGTTCACGGCAGCCGTCCTCTCCTCCAGGGAGACCGAACACGAAGACGAGGATAAGGACCAGGACTTGCAAGAAGAAGACAGCGACGTCGAAGGCGGCGACGACAACGTCGACAGTGATGACAACGGCAAGAACTGCGTCGGCGGCAACGCCGAGCCTGGCGATGCTGAGGACGGCGGCGAGAACGAGAGCGGAGGGAGCGGCGGCAACAGCTGTGACGGAGGGAAGGTTACCGCCGACAAGACCGCCGCTGCCGACGCCACCGCGGCCACCGCTGACGGCGACAGCAAGGACAAGGAGGAACGAGAGGCACCGACGGCGGGCACCACCGCAACACCACCACCAACGGCGCAGCTCGACAGTAGCAACAGCAGCAGCTGCCGCAAGCAGAGTTCCGCAATCACCAGCACTGCCGCAGTCGCCGGTGGCGGCGGCAGCGACGCAGCAGACACGCCTCCTCCGCTAAGACCCGGGGACATGGCGGAGTTCTACGGGCTGACGGCGGCCAACGCTCCCGTTCGGCAGCGGGCGGCGGTGGTCAAGCTGGAGAGGCTCTCGCTGGCATCGTCCGCACACCCCCAGTTCACCGCCCACACCGTCGAGGTGAGCTAGATTTTTTGGGCCGGCGTACGTTTGGGGATTCGGATTTCTGTTGCCTCTGTTTTTTGCCGAAATGGGTAAGTGTGGGGATTCGGTTTTCCGATGAGTGTGTGTATTTGTGATTTTTTTTTGCTTTGGTTTCATGTTGTTGTGGCAGTGCCGCAGCTGCTTCTTTGGCCCAAGTGCGGTTCATTGAGCACCAGGTTGGGGATACATAAATCGATCGATTGCTTGAGAGGGTAACAGACGCTGTGATGGTGTCGCTGCAAGCCTTCCGGTGGTGGAAAACCCGCATGCATGTTCAACGCAAACGAGTGTAGTTTTTGTGTGTGGTTCCGACCTGCCTGTTTTAGGCGTTAACTCTGTCTGAACACACCTTGTTGGTACACTAGTGTTTGGCGCACCAGCCGGGCGTCACGCAGGAAGAATGATTCGCCTTCCTTCCGTCCCACGTCCGGGATGATTATTTCCTTCCTTGGCACGAACAACACCTCAGCAGTCCCTTGCTCCTCCTCCCCACCTAACAGCTCTACCCCATCTGCCGCTTGGCGATGGTATCGTGAACGTCGCGTACGCTGCTTTTTCTCTTTTTTTTTTGTGAAACAAAATCGCATCGTTCCCCCACCAGGTTTTGCAGTTCGACCAGATCGCCAGCTGCATCGGCGGCCTCTTCATCGCCGTCCCCCGCTCCGACGCGGCATCGCCGTCGCCGCCGTGGACGGGAGGGGACGCCAAGGACCCGTCCCCGGGTAAAAGGAAGTCCGTCCCCGTGGTGTCGGCGTTCTGGCACTCGTTCGCCTTCTCCACCACCGACGGCAGGAAGCAGACCATGCGCGGCCTGCCCGCCCCCGTGGTGCGGCGGGCAGTAGAGCGCCTCCGGCGGGACCTGCTGCTCGGCAAGGCGGCGGAGGAGGAGGGTGGCTCTTCGGTTGAGCACGAGATGATAAATAAGCAGCAGCAGCAGCAGCAGGAGGAGGAGGAGGGGCAAGAGAAGCGTGTGCTTGCCGACAACGACAGCGGTGTTGGCGTTGACGGGCGACCCGCGGAGGAGGACCTCGACGCGGCAGGGGCGGAGGCAGAGCGAGTGCTCGCGGCGGCTGCAGCGCAAGTGGCAACAGCAGTAGCAGCATCAGCAGCATCAGCATCGGCAGCTCCAGCAACAGCGGCGGGAGCACCGGAAGTGGCAGCAGCAGCGGCGGGAGCGCCGGAGGTGGCAGCAGCAGCGGCACCGGTATCGCGAGGAACCCCGCGAGCGAACGAGGGCGCGGCAGCGGCAGAAGCAGCAGCAGCAACAACAACAACGGTAACAGCGGAGGCAACGGACATCGAAAGAGATGTAGACACCGCGGCAACGGCAGCAGTAGCAGCGGGAGACTCGGAGGGGGGGGGCGACCAGGAGGACCGAGCAGGAGGAGCAGCACCGGCGGCGGCGGCGGCGGGTGTCAGCGCCGAGGGGAGCGGGAGAAGTCTCCTCGGCGCTGCACCGTGTCTGCCGCTGCAGCTCGTGACCCTCGAGCTCAGCAAGGCGAGAGCGGGCCTCGGCTTGAGCGAGAAGTGGTCTCGAAGGATCGAGAGGAAGTGCGGCGAACGGCGACAAAAGCAGGTGAGAAGCAGCAACAGCAATTACATTTTGGAGGAGGGCGGGGGGGGGGGGGGGGG